TCCGGGCGGGAGCTGCCGCATGGCCTTTGAGTTCCTGCCAGGCGGAAATGTCCCCTGAGGTCCCCCCTGGCCCCGCGCTGAGCAGGGACGCTCGGCCTGGGGGAGGCAGTGCGGGCTGGGAATGGGGTGAGCGGGCAGAGCAGGGAGCCGGGACGCACGGAGACCCCACGCTCCGCGCCCGAATTTCGCTCGAGGGGCTCTGCACACCCAGGATGGGTGCAGCCCACCCCCAGTGAAGCGCCCCAGCCCCTCAGTGCTGCTTCGTGCCTGCAGGAGCAGCACGGGGCGGCCCACGTCTGGCGCGACTACACCAGGGTGAAGAGGGTGAGTAAGGGCAGGGGGACCTGCAGCGGGAGACCCGGCCTCGCTGCCCTCCTCCCTGGAGCCCCCAGAACTCCTGGCACCGCTGCCCATGGCCCCCCGGTCCTTCAGGCCCAGAATTTAGCCCTCCTGGAGAAGCAGGAGCGCTGCGACTACCTGCGGAAGAAGCTGCTGCACATCAAGTCCCAGATCCGGGAATACGACCGTGCTGCTGCCGAGGGCTCCGTCTGCTTCTGAACCTGGAGGGGGCTGTCCCCATCGCTGTCACACTCTGGCCTCATCCCCAGGGACTCTCATTTGGCTCAGCTGGTGCTCCCACCTAGTTTGGGAGCAACCCATGGGTTTGTGCACTGGAGAACAGAGTCTGGGGTGCTAATCTGGGGGTTCCTGCACCTGGGGGAGCCCCGGGCGGTTGCCCTCGCACATGTGCTGGCTACATGGGCCCCATGGCCATGGGGCAGGCACTGCTTGGCCTCGCACCTGCCTCGGGGCTGCAGCTGCAGCTATAGACCAAGCCAAAACTGTTTTAAATAAAACAGGGTGTGTTTTTAGGGGTGGTTAATGTCAATAATGTGGTTAATGTGGGGAATACACCTGTTTCCCTCTCTGTACCTGGTCGCCACTCGGGAAAAGGACTGAAGCTGTGATGGGGACAGATTCGCAGTTTCTTCCCCGAGGTCCCTCCCCTCCCCTATTCCTTGTACTCACAGGAGCCCCCGCACCACTGCTCTGGGGGCAAGAAAGCAGAACCGGGGTCCCTGTGGGCCAGGGGGGACCCTGGGAAGCTTTGGGGACCGCAAAGGTGGCAGGGGGGGACCCCCAAGTCCCCTCTTTTTTAAGAAAAGAAACCCAAGTTTAGTCCTCGGGCAGCACCGGGGTGGGGGTGGCAGGGGCAGCCCACGCACCGACCCCCCTTCCCCGCTTGAATTAACCGCGCGGG